TCCTCTCCCGGGTTATCTCAGATTAGTGTCACCTTGCCATCTTCCATGGATCACCGTGGCTTTCCACCCCCACTCGGTCACCAACCCCCTCCTCCGTCTCCTCCCTCCTCGGACGCCAGCTTCCCCATCCTAGCTATATCCATCCTTGGCATCCTCACCACGTCCATCCTCCTCCTCAGCTACTACGTCTTTGCGGTCAGATGTTGCCTCAACTGGCGCCGGTCCGATGTCGTGGGCCGCCTCTCGCGTTCACGGCGCCGTATCGACGACCGACTGATGGCCTACTCGACCGTCACCGAGAGCCACGGCCTCGGTGAGTCGGAAATCCGGGCAATCCCCACGCTTCGATACCGCAGAGGGGGCGATGGCGCGGGGAAGACGTCCTTCCACGAGTGCGCTGTGTGCCTGAACGAGTTCCAAGAAGAGGAGAGGATTAGGCTGCTGCCGAACTGCTTCCATGTCTTCCATATAGACTGCATAGATACCTGGCTCCAAACCAACGCCAATTGCCCGCTCTGCAGGTCGAGCATCACCACAGCCGCGGCACCTGTTCCGCTCGACCAATTCACGGCCTCGGCTCCACATCAGGACCCTCGTCGGAGTGGTGATATAGTGATCGATATCAGAGACGACGATAGCGACCCGCAGGCCCAAGCGGTCACTGCCATCGACGCCAATACCAATCCTTCGCGGTGGAAGTCGGAGCAGAGGGTCGGGCACAAGAGGGGGAGGAAGGTCCATCGTCACGGAAGCATGGGGGACGAGTGCATCGACACGAGGGCCAAAGACGGGCAACTCCAGGTTCAACCCATAAGAAGGTCTTTCTCCATGGACTCTTCGAGCGACAGGCAGCTCTACATGGCAGTCCAAAAGATCATGCGCCAGAATCCACACTTCCTAGAAGCCACCGGCGGAGAAAGCAGCAGCACTTCCGGCAGAATCCGGCGGTCGCTGTTCTCATTCCACCGGCACTCGCGCAGTGCTGTCCTTCCGGTCCAAATCGAGCAGTAATCATCCCAAATCAGCGGCTACTTCGATCCCATCCTACTCCCTCCGAAGGTGATGATGTCCATGGACACGTAAAACTTGGAGTTTTCGAGTACAACATGATTGATGATGTTCTATGCCATCACGGCTAGCATCATAGCTAGATTTGGATGTAAAATTTCACCCTTCTGTTCTAGAAATAAATTATTATTATTATTATTATTATTTTGTTTCAAGAATGGTTTTTTTTGGGAGAGGAAGACAAGATATGGAAGCTTCCTACCTAAGACAGCTCCAAAAACAGTGTGTGCTCCTATCTGATCCTAACAATTGCATGCGGAAGCATCCAATTCATAAAGCACTTCATCTGGGGATTCAGATCTCCATTACAAAAATATTTGGGGTGACTCACTTCCACGTAGCTAACATGTGTTTCAGTTGATGATCTAACGATATATAATTTAATCGATGAAAAATCTATCCATCATTATCAATCAAACTTTTTAGAGATTAGGTGGATCTTTAATGCCCTTCGGGAGATCCTCAAAGAGTATGTGTCGTTGAGATGTGCTTCACCATCAGCTGTAAACTGCCCCGATGCAGCAGGTGACGGTTGGGTGACAACTAGAGACTCCTTCCCCTCACAGAAAGGGCGTTAACCAAAACATGTCATCCATCTTTTCGTCATCAGGGAAGAGGGGGATTCATTGCTAACCTAATAATTCAATTGTTTTGTTGATAGGCAGCTCAACCAACGACCCAACCTGCGGCCACCAAGAACGCGAGGGGAAGAGATCGCTACTGTGGGGAACGAGTAGCGTTCGCTGTTCTCAAGGCACATTCGCCATCATCAGACATGAAAGTGGAAAACGGACGGAAAGCGAACTCCCACCCTACGCTAAAACAAGCGATGGAGATGAAGGCACGCCAACCAACCTAAAAGTACAAGACAAGGCCAGAAGAATCCCACACTACAATGAGCGATGGAAATAATGACTCTCTGCTTCTAATTTAATCTTGGGAACCAGGTGGGGGGGGTTGGGTGGTACTGACTTCTAATCACAATAAAACAATTAATCAGATGATATATTTAGCACCAATTTTTTATTTTTATTTTTCAAAAGTACCAATTTTTTTTTTCAGTTTTATCCTTATTTTTTTATAATACTGTAAATGTGCTTGTCTTTGTCTATCCTTATTTTTTATAATACTATAGATAATCACAAAGATTCGTTGTCTTATAGAGACATTAAAAGTTTTTGTTGGTCACATTGGTCGTATTTCTTATCGTGAGGTTTCATTTGTCGCTCTTTACTCTCGTCGTCGTAAGGTCACATCCGTTTTTTCTTTCTATCACTTTCACCTCTGCTCCTGACGTCATCTTCATCTATACCCCTAACGATATTTATGAAATTAAAAAATAAGATATTATCTAAAAAATAAAACATGGGCACCTATTAACAAAATATTTATATCACAAAATACGACGCATAATTTAGTTGGTAAAAATTTTGGTAACTTATTATAAGATTTCGAGCTCGAATCCCATCACTTACCCTTTGGAAAATTAAGAAAAAGGAAAACGGCTCATATCACTAATGCAATCAATCATCTCTGTCTTCGATACTGATCTACAACAGGGAAGACAATACGTCCACATCTGTCTGTCTACCCAAATTTAGCACCACCATGCGACGCCCAAAAGCGCTTCCAGAATGCAGCTGCCGGCAGCACTAAGTTCGCGGTTGTCATGGCGAGCTCACGAGGTGAAGGGTGGAGGTGGTGATGAGACGGTACAACTGTGACCCTGCAACTGCCTTGGGGTCCTGATGAGGATTGATCAGGACACTGGAACTACATTGCAATCCATGTTTCATGTCGTACCTTCCCGTTGTTCTGTTCGATCACCAGCAGCAAACTCAAGTCCTCATCGGAAACCTTTTTCCGTTCCCTGATGCATGAGATCTCGAGGAACCAGTCATCCGAGACCTTTCTGCCTGCGACACATGTATTTTCTGATGAAAACCGACATGTATTCCTAACCAAACTAAAAAAAGCAGCTTTCTGGTGGCTCTCCCTTTCCCTGTTTCCTCTTGGATTGTCTCCTTCCCTTCCCATCCCCCTCCCCCTCCCCACACACACCACCAGGTTTAGTTTCAGCTGTGGTGGTAGTCGTTCGACCATGGGATGCACACATGCTGCGAGGACCCCCACTTGCTATTGCTACTACACTACAGTGGGCAAATTTTAGGAACAGCTGAGCCTCGATTTGAGAAGGTCTCTTTTGATACTTTTGAGAAACTTGATGTGATATTATAGGTTAGATGCATTCGGGTTGAGGCACGTGGAGTCGAGGACACAGGGCTCTGGGAGACATTTGCTTTCTTCTCCTCTTTGTTTCCTCTCTGATCAACTTATATATATATATATATGTATGTACAAAAAAAAAAATCATTAATAAGATTAAAGAAAGAAGGGAAAGAAAGTAGAATAAAATAAATTAATGAGCTTCTACATTTAGGTCGCATTGAATCTGCACAAAATATACACAACAGAGCTGGAATTTTGGAAGTGATTCCATGATTTCTGTTCATAAGCTCACAGAGAGATAAGTTGGCAGCCATAGATGATGATGGCATGGGAACCAAAGAAAAAGTTTGATGTCACCAGTGAAGATGATTTTGACAAGCAACTTTTAGGACAGGGAGTACAGAGTCTTGGAAAAGTGGCTTTAAAAAGAGAAAGTTGGACTAGTGGACCGATTAACAATGGCATCAATAGTTTTCCATCTTTCCATCAAGAATGGTTTTCTGACCTTTTTTAATTTATGAACTCTAAATTAATTTACTCTTGCAAAAAAAATTTATATTCGTTCCAGATAATGTGCATTGCCAGTCATCTTCAATCTTTAATGTGAAGCTCAAGTCCATAACACAACCAGTGTAATTAATCTACGAGTCCCTGCCATTGCCACCGATAACAAACACCACCTTGTAATCCTCTGTGCACCTGTAAGAAGATCTCCAACAGCAGGTGCAACCTCAGGAATTGAGACAGGGGAGAGCTGTTCCTGCTTTAGAGTCTGACATGAAAGCAAAAGTTTGGGGTAATTCATGTACTCTCTTAACTTTTCTCAACTTGTAGGCATTTGGGAAGCAGCATGTTGCTTTACAAGCCTTTTTCATTTCCCTCACTCTACAACTTCAACCAGCACATGATGGTGAAAGCATTTGTATAAACTAGCATTGCCTTTGTCTCCAGAATCAGCCTTTCCTCTCCGGTTAAGTGGCAAACAAACTTACATGACCGGAGCCATGGCAAAGATATCATAATGATTCACCTCACAGCCAAAACAAACCAAAAAAAAGAAAGGGTTAGCTAATGGCTACCGGGAAGAGATCGAGGCCTTCCTACCCTGATTTCCTACTACATAGTTGCAAGAGATCAAATTCAACCTGCACAATCCTTGGTGTTAAAGCTTGGAGTTTCCTGTCGTGAAGTGTGTCATTAAACCACCACATTTGTGGAGCGTAACTAATGAAAAGCCTATATCTATCGAAATCTGTTGCTTTATAAGCAACAGGGAGAACAGTTCCTCATTAGTATCTTAATCTGACAAAAGATGCTAGGGTTAGTATCTTAACCTTTACTGGCTTTGCTTGCTTTCCCATGTCATCTTTTCTTGGTGTTAATGATCCACTAATAGATTCACAGTTGAGATCGCCCCCAAGTAAACAAATCGACTGATCGAGCAAGCAAGAATATTATGGGTCAGTGTTACCTTCTTTGCCGTTCGAGGCTCTTGGGGATGGAATCTCGGACAGGGTTGTAGAACTCATGATGAGGTGAAAGGAAGGGATAGGGCATATTAAAGAAAGGAAATCTGCAGCCCATGAAGGAGACCACTGCAAATTAATTAGTCATTGCGGCCACCTTGTTCTGGTGCTTATAAAGGAAGGGAGGTGATGATCGAGTTCACAGGGTAAGAGCGAAGCGGGAAAGACGAGAGGAATATGACCGGGTTTGGCTCCCCTTGCGGTGCATGCAAGTTCCTGAGGAGGAAGTGTGTCAGGGGATGCGTCTTCGCCCCGCACTTCTGCAACGAGCAGGGAGCTGCTCGGTTTGCTGCCATCCACAAGGTCTTCGGAGCCAGCAATGCCTCCAAGCTCCTCATGCACCTCCCTGTCAGCGATAGGTCCGAGGCTGCTGTCACCATCTCCTACGAGGCTCAGGCCAGGCTCCAAGACCCTATATATGGCTGCGTCGCTCACATCTTCGCTCTCCAACGACAAGTGAGTAGTCCCAAGCTTATCGGGATTCGAGGAAGAGCTTACACCACTGCATGCAATGGCAGGCTCTGTAGAAATCTACTCGTAAAAGAGATGCTTACAGCTTCCTTATTTTGCAGGTTGTGAATCTGCAAGCACAGCTGGTCTCTTTAAAGGCACAATCTGCTCAAGCTTTCGCCGATGGATCTTTGTCTCAGGAAGACAGCTTGAACCACCAGCTCCTCGACCAACTTCAGCTGGATCGGGAAGCAAGGATGAGGCATGCTTTGGTTTCAGATTCGCCATTGAGCACCGAACGCACTATGTATCATGACAATGGCCTTCTGGACTCGAGCTCATCCCTGCTGCCTTCTCCACATGGTGTTCCTCATTCGTACATGGGGGTCGACGATGGCATCTTCTTCGGCACCGATGAAGACATGGAGAATGCACTCGTGACGCAAACGGTTGGGCGGAGCTCGGCGGATCACAACATGGAGGATCTTCGATCGGTAGCTTTTGCTCATCTTCGTCATGTATGAGAAGGCTGCACGTGAAGAAGAGTTGTAATTCGTACAACTTTTCGTCGGGAATTTTGTTGCTTCGCGTATCGCTTTGACGTTGTGTGATGAGATGGAAACGAGGAACGATGAGCTCGTCGCTTGACGTCAGGGGCTTGCGTGAGGAACTCTCGGAGTGACTGAACCATACCCGAATTGATTCCAAAGGATTCGAATGTCAAACCCGCATCCGATAAGAGACAAGAAATATATATATATAGGGTCAATTTATCTCGACAAACCTACCAACTCAATTGGTTCTCTAAATGATTTAATCTTTTTATTAAACTATATAAAATATGGTCACGGATTCGAATTTAAAACCCATCAAAGACGCACAGACCCGTCGGCTCATTAACGGATCGGGTCAGGTTCTGCCGAGGCTTCATTGCTTGGTTCATATGCCGGCCCAGCCCATCGCCCGTAGTCTTCTCATGCCTCCTCTCCTTCGACCCGCGTCAAGAAGCTGCGTCGTCTTCTCGGGATCCCCCCTTCTCCCATGAGCTCACCAGAATGCATCCGTGGCTTCGCCCCTGCTCAAGGGTTTCGGCCATCTCAATCCTCACCGGTCACTATGCATCGATTCCGATTACCCATAAGGAGGAGGAGCCCTGTCACACTGTCATGGGCAATGGCCCCATCAAGGCAACATGGATAACAAAAACTATACTCGGTTCGTCTTCCTACCCCCGGCAGTCCTCGCCCAATCGGCACCAATTCTCATGGTTTTTAATCCTAACCTCCCTCACTTGTCATCGCCATGCCAATGAAATCATGACGCTTGCCATGCGGCAGGCAGGACCACGGCAAAAGACAAATAGCAATAGAAAACTTGTACTCCCTCTCCTTATCCTCAAAGCTGTCCTGCATCTCCAGTTTCTCAAGCTTAATCGTGTGTCGACACATGTTAACCTCTTTCCATGTGTTCCCCAATCACTCGCCCTTCAGCTCATCAGTTTTGAAGCCTCGCTAGGAGTGTGACGCATGCACCACCATCAATTAAGTTTGACGGAGCCGCTTTTGGTTGATCTCTGGTGCGCCTGTGTTTCGAGTGTCTTCCTTTTTCTTATTGGGTGGATGCAAAAGCGCATGCAACTGGAGATTTAATTAGTGCATGCAAAGCATGGCAGGATCTTGTAAGCTGGGGGAGGCGTTGTACTTGCAAGTTGTCTCCTGGGCCACCAAGCTCAGGAATCTCTCCCATTTGATATTATTTCTTGTCCTTCTCCTCCTACCGCAGTTGCGTTTATCAGCTCAATGGACATTCATAGCTTGTTTTCCTCTTGCTGCTGAAGCAACAGCTTTAACTTCCCATTTTTATGTGGGAATTTGATACAGTACCACTCTCTCCATCTCTCAGATAAAAACCCTAATGCTCAACACACTCCTCTCTTCCCCTCCCTAAATTATTCTACCCATAGCAATTAACTCCAAAGCACCACTTACCTTTTCACACATGTTATACCTGAAGAGAATCAACTAGAACAAGACCTCTCTCTCTCTCTCTCTCTAACTGCACCAAGTCTTCCTTTCCATATTATTTCATGTATCCACTTGCCGTACGACTTCTCCCCCCATGACTACAAGTTATACCAATAGCCTTTTCTCTCCGAGAAGAAACGGAAAAGAGAAGGCAACCGATCGGTCCTGTTGAGTTGGTAGCTGATGGATTCTGAAGCATACTGTTAGTCTTCTGTCCTTCATGCTTCCTTTTTCTTTCTTTTACTCCTCATCTTTATCCTGTGTGGAAACATGTAGCCATGTAAGATTGTTTAGGTTCACCATCACTTCTTCCAAATATTTGATGCCCCTCTGTGTTCTTACAAAGATGAGAACGAAGGGGAATGAAGTATAGATCTCTACAGCAGCAGCAACATACAAAAGGCGATTAGTCTAACGAGCAAGCTGGCGAATCACTGGTGGGAAGGGCCTTTAGGCCTTCCGGGAGCCGATCCGGCGGCCTCGGTTCACAAGAACCCTAACCAGGACGCAACGCCAAAGGAATCCGACCCTAATTCTTCGTCCGCCAACGAAGAAGAAAAGGACAACGACGGGGAGCCGAGAGAAGGCGCGGTCGTGCCGAGCAGCCGGCGTCGACGCGGCCGTCCACCAGGGTCCAAGAACAAGCCCAAACCCCCCATCTTCGTGACCCGCGACAGCCCCAGCGCCCTCCGCAGCCACGTCATGGAGGTCTCAGGGGGCGCGGACGTGGCCGACTCGATCGCCCAGTTCGCTCGCCGCCGCCAGCGCGCCGTCTGCGTGCTCAGCGGTTCCGGCACCGTCGTCAACGTCGCGCTCCGCCAGCCTGCTGCCCCGGGCGCGGCCGTCGCCCTCCGTGGCCGGTTCGAGATCCTCTCTGTGACCGGCACGTTCCTGCCGGGCCCGGGCCCGTCCCCGCCGGGGTCGACCGGGTTAACGGTTTACCTGGCAGGCGGGCAGGGTCAGGTGGTGGGCGGCAGCGTCGTGGGGCCGCTGATAGCGGCAGGGCCGGTGATGGTCATGGCGTCCACGTTCGCGAACGCTACTTATGAGAGGTTGCCGCTTGTTCAGGAAGAGGAGGAAGGCCCAGACAGTGGCGGTGGTGCCACGGGACAGTTGCCCGGTGGAGAACCGCAGCTGATGGCCGGGGGCGGGGGATCAGGAGGACTGCCGGACCACTCGGCGCTGCCCATTCTCAACTTGCCGCCGAACTTAGCACCCAACGTCGCACACGTGGGGCATGAGCCCTTCGGGTGGGCTCATGCGCGGGCGCCATTCTAGGAGGACAAGATGAGCTCTCATTTCTATTATATATATATATATATATATATATATATATATATATATATATATATATATATATATATATAATATGTCACATAAAGTCTGTAATTGTACCAGTAATGATCTGTGTGCTTCATCCGAAATAGAATTGTCCTCTAATAGAAGGGTAGAGATATGCTAATGATGTTGATGACTGTGGAGAAAGTAGTAGCATCATCTGTGAAGCATGGTTTGGATCACAAGGAACATTGCAACTAATCTTGTTAAAATGATTTTATGTTAGTGGTTCCTTTATCGACAACTGTACTTGTGATGCATGATTGATAGAAAGTACATGTCTTATTTGTACAATGTTGCAGTGAAAAAATCTTGGGATTTCTTTGACAATTTCTGTAGAAAAGTAATATTCATTCTTACTCTGAATACTTGGTATGAAATTTCAATTGACCAACAATTAAAAATAAGGATGATCTGTTTACTGTATGTATGTATGCTATTTCTTTTCCTCGAACGATTTCATGATCTGTTTACGAATTTTGATTTAATATCATAAAGATTTATCGATATAAAAAACAACATCAAGAGAGGAAATCAATCAATCAATCAAATTTATCTTATTGATAGATCGACTAAATTGCCAAGTCGCTTTGAGTCAACGCAGGTGTGGGGAGGAGGAACTCATCATTGGGCCAAATCAAACTCTTCCCAGACTACAATTTTGTTGGGTTATGGTCTGATGTTGTTGAGTGGGTTTCGATTAGCGGTAAATGTCTTCGCCCGATTAATTGGTTGTCATCTGCAATACATTCATTCATATTGACTGACCTAAACCCGTACGCAATATTTTACATTTCAATTCTAAACATTTTATTAGTATTATTATTATTTTTGTGTAGATTGATTAGCTTTGCTAATCTCCAACCTAATGAAACAGAATAGATACACTGCATTAAGTAGGGTTAGGGTTAGGGTTAGGGTTAGGCCCCCAAAACTTGATGGTGACCTTCTACACCCACAAAAGTCAATCAAGTTGTCGCTTGTCAGAAGCTTTCTCCTTTAAGCTGATCTCATTTGCTTGTTAGGTCTCGTAATCTACCCACTAAATTAATAATCTTCTCCATTGCAATCACATCATCCATCCATCCATCCCCTTCTTCGCCGCTGCACGAATCCCATCAGGGAAAGAAAGATGCAGTCCGAGTGACCTCCTGCATTTGAGCAATTGCTTCTCACCTCCTTCCAACTCCATCAACCCTCTCGTCTCTCTCTGCACTTCACTCCACCCCAGTACTGGTTGGTTGGACGGCGCAAGGTTTGGTCACAGACCACTCCCCGACCCCGTCTGCCTGCCTACACCACAAAAGATTACACTAATGTGTCTCTCTCTAATCAAGAAGCTTAGCCCACACCATACACATCTCTCGTTGGGCGTGCAAAGCTGCAAGTGACATGTTCAAGTCCAAGTCCAAGTCCAAGTTGTGATGCTAAACTAATAGATATTGTACAACTAAATATGAACTTGCAGATTGATGATACCAAAACAGGACCTGACCGTCCAGTAATATATTAACTTCTTGTAGTCTACATACACTCTACTCAGCTTTGCTCGTCTTGTAGCTAAGTCAGATGACACACTTCTTAGATTCTTAAAACTTCCAAGTACAGATCATTTTAATGCAAAATCTCGATCCATAAACTATCAAGGAGTAGTGTCAATTAAATTGAACATCCGAGACAATGGACATGGATTCTTGCTTGAGGTAGCTCTCTATCAAAGTAATTGGAAATAACAATGTCAGATAAATGCAAAGAGTACCTCAAATTTACCTGCTATCGCCATCGAAGCATTTCAAAGAATGCAACTCACTTCCCTTCCTAGGTACACCATCAATTTAGTTGATTCCAACGCAAACTACGTTTCAAGTTGTAAGTGCTCTTAGGAGCTCTCGTTCTAGTTCTGGTAGCACCACCGGTTTCCTGATGAGACCGTTCATCCCTGACTTCACACATCTCTCCCAAACATGTTCCTCGGTGCTTGCCGTCAAAGCAACGATCAAAGGGCGGCATCCGGTTCTCATGTCCCGTACCTTGGTGGCAACTTCATAGCCATTCATCATGGGCATGTTGAGGTCCAAAACAACAAGTTGGAACTGCGTTCCGGAGGTGCCAATGGAGCTCAAGCATTCAGCCCCTGTCGAAAGAGGAGAGACGCAACACCCCAGCTTTTCGAGAAGCTTGTGTGTTACCTTTCTGTTGATTCCATCATCATCAACTAGTAAAACCTGAAGGCCTTCTAAAAGAGAAGAAGAAGAAGAAGAAGAAAAATGATGACGGCGCTCCAAAGGTCCTTCTAAATCAGAAATCGGCATGGGAGGTTGCAGCGGCAAGCGGAGAAGTAGTGTCACGCACTCAGGTAGACCATGGCAACTTGGAATAATGCAGATGTTCCCCTGCATCAGCTGCAGAATACACCCATTAGATTAGTGCCAAGAAACATTAATTAACAATCTGGATTCCAGGTAATGCGTTTCACACATCGCGAACGAATCTTTACAAGGTGATGGAAGGAGTATCATGTCTGAAATCTACGCAAATATGAGTTCAGGTTCAAGCATTTGATGATTTCAGGTTCAAAAAGCTGATAATGCGGTGTAATTCTACCTTAATAATATGAGGGAATCAAAACTACTAATATCGATCTTCCTTTTGATCATTACCATAGACACCTTACTTCCTGTTGCATTTGTTCCACCAAAGGAAATCGCTACCTCAAGGTAGAGCATAGACAATAATAATTAACTAATTTCTAAGTAGAACAATCATTGAAACCAAGAAATTGAGTAGTTTAAGTAGCTTGTAAGACTGCAAACAAGTCATAATTAAAAACAATGTTCGGAAGCTAATTATATATCCGGTATTTAAATCGAATGAAAAGGAAAGGATTGAAGTGGAGATACCTGCACAAGCTTTTTACACATACCGAGGCTGAAAAAACCCGTATCGAACCCCTCTCCATTTTGCTTCCTGTCATGCTGCACTGATGAGCTTGAATTAGAACATAATGATCTTCTGATTGCCATCTCAAATTTCACACAACTATTGACATTTGAAAATTTGGACCTCCAAACCCATCTCTGATCTCGCAAGTTCTCGAGTTCGGAATCACTCCAAACACGCAGTGTCATACATCCTCCATTGGATCCGTTCAACAAACCACCAATAATGTGCAATAGTACATGAAGAATCCGCCTCTCATCACCGATAACTTGATCAAGAAACTTATTCTCGACCTGAAACCCAAAACCAAACCCCCTACTGTCACAAAGACACCTAGCAATGCAAGCAGCTTCCTTGATCAATGGCTGCAGCTGGAATGGCTTCATCTCCAAAGTAAAGTGTTCGCTGTTGATCTCCAACGTATCATTGATCAAAGCTGAAACCACACCGCCTGTTTTTGCCATAGTGTTCACTATAAGCCTCTGTTCAGGAGTCAAGTTTCCCTGTTGCATAATTGACAACAGACCCAGAATGGAGTGGATGGGACTTCGAATTCCCTGGTTCATGATCTTTCGGAATAAATTCCATGCCTCGTTCGCCATCATCACATTCTTCCTCGCTTGTAGCAAAACCCTGTTTTGTTCTACCAATTTGTCTCTGATCATATGTGACTCTTCCAAAACGGCAGCATGGGAGAGGGCGACGGCCACCTGATCGGCTACGACCTCAACGAGCTCTAGCTCATGGTGGCTCCAAGCCCTGGTTTCATTCTTGGGCAGCACCAAAACCAGTATGGCATAGCATGCTTGAAGGACCTCTGGTGTCCCCCCTTTGAAGTCCGAAACTTTCAACATCGGCATCCTGATTGCAGCAACAGCTCCTGAGCCGCCAACCATCCCGCTGCTTGCACGACCAAGCATGGATTCCGGGTCTAGTATCTCCACACCATCGCATTTCTTCACATGTGCCACATCCGGATCATCCATGGGGATCGAGAGTGTGTCGAGGTCAGAGGAGGCCCTCCTCCCATTCAACTCGTGAGTAAGATTCATCTCCAACTCGTTCTCATTTGGCATCCAAACTGCACAGTTTTGCAGCTGCAGTGTCTTGGAGAGCTCAACCAAGGTGGTGTACAGAATGGTGTGCTTGTCGAGAGATTTCCGTATCTCTTGAGTCAGCATCCGCACGTGCCAGCTTGCTTCTTCCTGCCTCTTCATCAGCCCTACTTCCCGGTCCAGCTCTCGAGCCTTGCGTCTCAGAAAATTCTCCCTCAGCTTCACTTTGAGGAGCTGAGGAATCAGAGTCAAGAGGGTTATCGCTGTCAAGAAGGAGACGAGTGCGGTGAGGAACTTGGAAACGGTGAGAGCCAACACCAAGAGGAAGGAGTGGGGCTTGTAGGTGAACACATTGAGCAAGTGGGTCAATCCACAGAGCACTATGAACGCGCTGAACTGGAAAAGGATCCATTTGAAGGGGAACAGATTGGAGCATGTAACGAAGTATAAGAGCTCGAGCGGAATGGAGAAATATGCCGCCGCAATCAAAAAGTCACTCACTTTCTGCCAACTGCGGATGCTGTCGATGCTCCACAGACCGTCTCCGTCACAATCACAGAGGGGGAGATCGATCTCAGCCGCAGTAGCAAGTGGGAGCGAGGACAGAATCAACAGCCCATGGCAGAATGCTCTCGACATTTGGACGAGACTGCGACGAGAAAAGATCCAAGAATCGAGCTCCAAAATCCTTCTTTTAGTAGACCGGAGGAATGCTTCGAAATCAACCTCTGATTGATCCACAACTTTCTGCAAGACCACAACTTTCAGGGAAGGCAGAGATCAAAACCCACTAAAATCAAGCTTCAAGTTCAACCAACAAAAAAGAATCCAAAAGCAAAAGCAAAGAGAAAGGCCACACCTTTCTTGGGTGTTTCTTGTGTATCCTTTTTTCACTATGCTATTTGCGGCTTTGGCAGAAAGCGAGGAGAAGCGCCGGTCGGTGAAATAGCCCGCCTTCCAACTCGTTTACCGTCTCGCTTAACGTTAAAGCTATCCTTTCCGACGAAAACGAGAAGTAAATGTCTTTTTTCTCCTTTCTTGTATCTCGCTGACCAGCTGGAAAAGACCGGGAAGCATGGCTGTTCCCGAGGAAAATGCAAAGTCAGCAGTACCAAAAGATCAAGAAGACCAGATCAAAGAGGTTAACGAGACCAATCACCCACAGAACCATCATCGTCTGCATGACACATCTAGAAAAGGATCATAAGTGAACAGAATCCCCGTTATGTTTCTTCCCACCTCCACATGGAACGACGCTCGATCTTTTACTGCAAATACCGCGAGCAGCGACCGGCCACCTCCACCACGACAGCAAACCCCCGGAAATGGGCCGCGGTCTCAGCCCGTGCGGGTTGGGCCTTACTGGACTTGAGTTGTTCCCGTGTTTAGAGTGCTTACCGAGAAAACTGAGATCGCATGACGGGTAACGGGAACATGTCTGGTTTCATCATTCATATTTCGTACGTATCTTTTAAGTATATGCCAAAGAACTGGTGGGGCTATCTTCAAGTAAACTCGGAGCTGCAGATATATTTAGCGAGGGATAGAGATGCCGCGCTCTCCGCCTTCCGCTCTCGGCCTTCCGCCCTGAGAAACCGAGACAAGGAAATATGGGGACGATGCAGCTACTGTTGCTAAGGGTTGACGAAGAGAAGGGGCGGTGGCGGAGCGACCGAGAGAGAGAGAGAGAGAGTGATGGTTGTAGCTGTGGCGGGTGGGGGCGGGGTCGAGCTGGAGTTGGCGGCAGTGGGGAAGGAGGAGGAGGAGGAGGAGGAGCAGGAGGAGGCCGTGGTGGCAGAGGATTGCCCTCCGGTGAGAGGGGTGCGGGAGGCGTGGGAGCTGTTCACGACGGAGTCGAAGAAGCTGTGGTGGATCGGGGCGCCCATCGCGTTCAACGTCGTATGCCTCTACGGGTTCAGCTCCTCCACCCAGATATTCGTCGGCCACATCGGCAACCTCGAGCTCTCCGCCGTCGCCGTCTCTCTCAACGTCGTCTCCACCTTCTCCTTCGGCTTCCTTGTATGCCGCTCTTTACCTCCCCACTTTTTCCGCCGTCTCCCTCGTCCTTAATAGTCGAATTCAGAACAGAGAGGGATCTGCCCTCTCTGTAGCTCATGTCGATACAATGTTCTGTTCACAGCTCGGCATGGGGAGTGCACTGGAAACCCTTTGCGGGCAAGCCTTCGGAGCCGGTCAGATCGAGATGCTGGGCGTGTACATGCAGCGCTCCTGGATAATCCTTGTAGCTTCTTCGTTCCTCATGTGCCCGATCTACATATTTGCTGCGCCGGTGCTGAAGCTCATCGGCCAGGACGATAAGATCGCTGACCTCGCCGGCCACTTCACCATCAGCATCATCCCCCAGATGTTCGCACTGGCGTTCAACTTCCCCACCCAGAAGTTCCTTCAGGCACAGAGCAAAGTGGTTGCCCTGGCTTGGATCGGTTTCGTGGCTCTCCTCCTCCACATCGCGCTGCTGGTCCTCTTCATCGTCGTCTTCGGATGGGGATTGGGCGGGGCAGCCGCTGCCTTCAACGTATCGGCATGGGTGGTCTCGCTGTCCCAGGTGGCGTATGTGATGGTCTGGTGCAAGGACGGGTGGACCGGCCTCTCCTGGTCGGCCTTCAGGGATATCTGGGCATTCGTTAGGTTGTCACTTGCTTCTGCAATCATGCTTTGCCTCGAGGTTTGGTACATGATGATCCTCACCGTGCTCACCGGCCACCTCGACGACGCCGAGATCGCCGTCGGCTCCATCTCTATCTGGTAATCGACTCTCATGCAACGATCTTTCCGCTTCGATCCACCGACAACAGCTGGTTTGACCGTTGTTCTACTCTTCCCCAGCATGAACATTAATGGTTGGGAGGGCATGATATTTATAGGATTGAATGCGGCTATAAGGTACAAGTATGCTCACCCATCCTAGGGACATATGGATGGACGATTCATCTGTTGCAAGGAGTCTCTCACCATGCTCTTCTCTTGCTCCGCTCAGCGTTCGGGTGTCCAACGAGTTAGGATCGGGTCGCCCGCGGGCTACAAGATACGCTGTGGTCGTGGTGCTCGTCCAGTCTCTGGCGATCGGCCTCCTCTGCATGACCATCATCCTCGCAACCCGGAACCATTTCAGCGTCATCTTCACGAGTGATAGAGACATGCAGCGAGCGGTTGCAGACATAGCGTATCTTCTGGGCATCACCATGGTGCTTAACAGCATCCAGCCAGTGATCTCAGGTAAACACGGGCATTCTTTCCATCCATTTCATGCTAGCGTTCTATTTACGACAAATGGATGGGTTGTTTGAGACAGGAGTGGCCGTCGGAGGTGGCTGGCAAGCGCTGGTGGCTTACATCAACTTGGGTTGCTACTACATATTCGGCCTTCCTCTGGGGTTCCTAATGGGTTATGCACTCCACTGGGGAGTGCAGGTAAACTTCCTTTGCATTTTCGAAGAGAGAGAGAGAGAGAGAGAGAGAGAGAGAGAGCTGTCCTGATACATGAGTCTTGTGCAGGGAATTTGGTTCGGTATGCTGTGTGGCACGTTTGTCCAGACGCTCGTTCTCCTGTTCATAATCTGGAACACCGACTGGAAGGCCGAGGTGAGAATCTGCATGGCGGCAAAAATTATGCTTCATTACCTTTCCCAATCCACACAAAAAGTTAAAATCGAGCAGCAGTAGTTGACATGTACGGAGTGAAGGAAATGGTTCTCACGGATTCTCCATGGTTTTGTTGGCACCATCGCAGGCAGCCGAAGCTGCAGAACGCGTGCGGCTGTGGGGTGGACAAGAAGGGTATCAGAAGGTACAAATATGATGGATGATGGGGTGGGGGTGGTGGTGGTGGGGCTTCATCTTCATCGTAAGTTATATATAGGCATATTGTGATTAGTAGAGCTCCGGGGAATTGGCTTTCGCACAAACCCCTTAGAATCGAAGCTGATTAGGTAGAATCGAAGGAGATCATCGTTACTTTTTTTTTTTTTCTTATTTGGATCTTCCTAAATCTATATAGCTTCCCAGAAGTTCTTTCTTTTCACTCTCTCAGAAAATGCGCATAGTTTCTCTTTTTATTTTTTACTCGTCTTTGTTTTTTTAATGGAATAATCATGTAACCTTTTGGGTGATTTTGAACATAATAATAATAATAATAATAATAATAATAATAATAATAATAATAATAATAATAATAATAATAATAATAATAGGCGATTGAAATTTAAGCCTTAGGTCATTGGATCACTAATCGAATCGATGGATCAAACCATACGTAGACTTAATTTTTTTTATAAAAAAAATTATAGATAATAACATTTTAAAATGTTAAAACTAATTAAAAAAAAAGAAAAAGAAAAGAAAAGAAAAGTTGAATAGAAAATGATAATATCAGTCAACATTATAAACATAATAAAAATGACAATTATAATCGATCGAATCAGGTTTAATTTATTTCTCACGTCAATCCTACTTTCTTAATTAAATTAAAAATATTTAAGTAATTTTTCATTATATTATAAATTAAATAAATAAATAAATAAATAAATAAATAAATAAATAAAAGTTCATAACCTAATCGATTCATATGGGCTATACAAAAATCAACCGAATCAATATCTCCCGGTAGTTCAGTCTGGTTGATGTTATTACCAAGTTCTTGGCTTGATCTAATTCAACATTTGGTGAACTACGTGGATTTAGATTTACAGTCCTTAAGAAACGCGATCAAGATGAAACGATCGGGGAGCTTCGTCAAAGGAAAAAAGCTCGGATCTGGTTCCATCTAACACTTCCATTCAAGCAATGCAAGCGAACGTCTCATCTCTCCACGCAAAAGCAGCTAAAACTAAAAAGATGACACAAATAGCACACACGGCATGGAGTAGCAGAAGCAGAGCAATTAAATAATACACTAGATTTTTCTTCAGCTGTAAGTCTACAACAACATCACAGCCACCACCACCACCCCCAGTGAAGCCTCAAAGGTGAGATGGGGAACCAAAAGGATGGTGAGAGAGGATGCTAATTCCTCTTGTACAAGAGACCACCGTAGCAAAGCATTGAATGCAGAATATACTAACAGGTGATGTAATATATACATCATGATACTCACATATGACTCGGCCGTCTTTTGCCGGTGTCTGTCCTCATTCTCTTTACAGGCTTCGCCCATTGTACATCTCCTATGCCATGACGGCCACCATCTCCATCACCAAGCTGCTGCATCTCACGGTGTGGCCAGACCGATGGATGCTTCGCCTGTCGAGCATGACGTGAATCTTTCCCAAATGATAAACTGGAACTTCTGTTCATCGTGGGCGATGGTGCAGAGGCCACACGTCCCGTACTGGGTGGAGACAGTGGGCCCATTCGACCAGGGTTGGATGGGGATGCAGAACCAGTTCTTTGCTTGACAGCAGATTTATCTCTTTCTTTCCTCTTCTTCTTGCAGATAACCAGATCACCCGGGTGCGTCAAAAACTGGGAACATTCAGGTGCCTGCTCCTTCAAGCTGCCAGAAACTGACCTTGACTCCTTCTGGTGCTTGGAAGAAGACGACTTGGTCCTCTCTTCGCCGCCTATAGGAGTGGCCCTATGGGGTACGACCTTATCCCGGACGGTGACTGTCTCCAACTTGTTAGTTGGGCCTTGCTGCTTGGTTTTGCTGGAGGAAGGCAGCTTCTGAGGTTGCATCGTCACAGATCCCCCGGGACTAGAAAAGGTCACTGCATTCTTGGCTTCTCGAAAATCTGAATCTGGAAATGCAATCTTCATTATATGAAAGAACAGATCTCGAAGCTTCTCTGCTTCACTTCTCACCTGCATTAGACGAAGAAAACAGTCAAGAGCAATGTCCACCATGCCCCATGGTTCCCCGTAGATGAAAATTTTTACCAAGTTTAGGACGTTTTTATAAGAAATTTAAACATGTAGCTTCTGTGTCTCTGCTGTTCTGAAGTTTACAGATACCTAATATATACATATGAATATTCATCTGATAGCATATCCAGAGGTCAAATTATCCTTTACATACTCATCAGGCTTCAAAAGAACTTGTGTGCATTTAACCACAAAACTTGTAACTGAAACTTCATATTGAAATAAGAAGAGGGTGAGACAAAAAAAAAGATGGGCAGAAAGGGGCTAAGACACGATATCCTGCAACAAACAAACTGAACTGAAAAAGGTGTTTGTTCTTGCTTCAAAACGGGCAAAAATGCATGGAAATATTGCCGCCTATTATTCTATATTACTGCTTCATGGAAATATTTACTTGATTCAAGATCCTGATTCATTTAATACAGATAATGGCATAATGAAACCAATCAATTTTTTAACAATCGATTAGAGTAACATAACATATTTGACAATGATAAATCAGACAGTTTGAGAAGATGCAACATTTAAATATCAAAAATCATGTCTGAAGTGAATATTCGGAAGTAGAAACAACTGTTGCGGTATGCACTTTTCATTGGGCTTTATTGACCCTTTCTCTAATTATGTATTCAAGCAACATAAAAAGACCTTAAATTAGCATAGTTATGTTTGCCACTGACACCATAAAAAAAACGCTAAAAGAAAATTGACTTGAATTTCAATAAGCTAATAATGTTTTTCAACATATGCTAAAATAGAACACATACACGGCAGACAAGCTTATTTTTAGGTGACCACAAGAAAGGCATCATGTATGTCAGGATAAGAAAAGTTCTGGAATGAAAGCATGCAATTGTTTTGCACAAATATAATCTGTTGGTATCGTAGAACAGGTATTTCAACTTAATAAGAATAGAAGGAAACAGTACCTCAGAAGAATAGTTGAAATGTCGAACTATATTTTTCAGCATCAACTGCACATCTGCTATAAAGTCTGTCACACCAGAGTACTCTAAGTTGTCCACACGCAATTCAATTATCTGAAGATCTAGGGTACCATGCACCACGAGAGGAATGGCCAAACTTGAGTTCGCATTTCTCCACCAATCAGACAAAATTGGCACAATTTGATTACCATCTTTATTTATTCTCCTCTGCAGCTTGCTAATGACATTCTTGCACTACAAAAAAGTAGGACATTTTAGGCAAATGTTGAATTACACAGAACTTCAGTTTGTTTATTGATGTTACTAAAGATGGAAATAAATACATTGGTGATGATCCCCCACTGTTCCAATTTTTCAACATAGAAACTCTATATGCCCAACAGTCCATTTATGAACTAAGAAAAAAGATAGATATAAAAGACCAAGAACTATATAGTGTCAAAGGAAAAAAGAAATTGTAAATGCGATCACTAAACAACACCTTTAGCTGATTTGTCTATGAAGACAGCATGGTGCTACACAACAGGTTACCTGTTTCCACAAAATTATTCTTTTTTTAAAACTAGTAGTACTTAGAGAATGGTGCATCTGTGGAGGCACAACATAGAGTAATTCACAAAGCCATTGTTTAATACACAAAAACAAGTTCTGCTTGTAACTAATATCAAATTACTAATTGTATAATGGTCATCCCTTGAGTAGTACTACAGAATTAGTAAAGTGAATGAAAAGAATTGCATGAACTACTCCAAAAATAGTTCAGCTGGGCCACCAATAGTAGTGGGCACAATTAATGGCATTCAATTGTTATAAAAGATTACTACAATTACAGTGGACAACTATCAAGCAAGTCATATTTTAGTCATAGGTGCATAAAATAATATGATAAATTATGCTAGTCAAGCACCATCATTCATCTATAAAACTTTTTCGCAACTAGGGATGGCAATTTGAAACCAAATCTGTAAGGCAGTTTTCCCATCTGGCCTGGTCAGGCCAGGTTTAACCAGCTTTTGCATGAGAGGTATGATTTTCAAAAACCCAACAGGACCAAGGAGCAGTATATCCCTGCCCCATCCCCACCCAACCAGCCCTAAGAAAAACCAGTTTTGACAATTTCACACGAGTAATTTAACTATCTTCTAAATATAACTAATACATGTGCTAATGACATGAAACTCATAGGCTATTAACAAGGTAGGATGGGCAAAAACCGATACTGCTGGTTTTCGTGTGGCCAAGGATGTTATTGTGCTTATTAACCAGACAGGAATAAGGCAATGTTTCTTTACCCAGCCTGGTTTAATAAACACCCCACCCACCCTGATGCCATCCCTAATTGCAACTGCTGAAGAAAATGGAGTTCTTCCTTTCCATAATGAAGAAAGCATCAACAAGAATGGTATAGAACAATTAAACAACTATGATTCCAAAAATGCATACCTTTCTTTGTGTACTGTCGGACATTTTTACGCCCACAAAGGTTGGGCCACCAGAGCTGTTGGTCCTACCATTCCAACTTTCCCTAGAATGTTCATTACCATCTTCTGCAGACCCAGAAAAGTAACTTAACCTGCCAGACTTCTGCTGAGGTGAAATCTTTTTAGATGGGACATTATGTCTGTGCTTCAATGATGAGCTACCTGTCACATGCCTTTGCAAACCAACCTCAGCAAATGCTTTGAGCTTTTCAGTTCTGGCTGGCATGGCATATTCATGGTCAACCTGCAAGGGCAACCTTGAAGAATGGTGGGGGAAGATCCTCTCGCTGCTAGATTTTTCATCAGTTCTTTCAGAAAAACATCTTGGGCGCATACGCATGCTCCGTTTACGCTTTATTTTTGGTTGCAAAACCTGTTCATCCTCTCCGTCATCATGGTCATGAAGCCAACTACCTGATTGTTGCAGATCCATGTGGGAGTCACCTGATACTGCAATTTCACCTTCTTCTAGCTCATCAGCCTGAAAATTCCAGAGAAAATGATCAAACTCAATTTAAGAACATACAAGGCAAACAGTAATTTATTTTAAGTGCAAAATTTTACTTTAACACACCATCTTTTTTGAAGGAAGACCTGGTTTGGCATCTAAAGCAGAAAGTGATCCAAACTTTTGTGAAACCAATAAAGGAGTTTCGGGTTGTGGCAATCTACGACTTCCAGAAGATGATCCTGTGGAATCAGCTTCTTCAAATGCATGAACATTTTGGCCACCGTCCATTGTTTGCGAGAACTCATATGCACCATTATTATAATCCATTCCCTCCACTTCTTGATCCTTGTGGACTGGAAGCACATCATCGGCAACATTGAACTCTTCATCTTCGAATTCTCCAATTTCTCCCTCTTCTTCAAATGCATTCCTCTCCTCTGAGTCAATATCTGAATCCTCAGCATCTTCATCATCCAATTCCTGGTAGATAGGGATGTTTTTGGCAGTTGAACTCTTAGGGCGGCCCCTCCTCCTTTCAGTTTTACTAGGGGACAAACCAGAAAATATTGCACTTGGTTCCAGTTCAATATTGCCAGATAAGATGTTCTTTGAAGGCTTCTTTGATAAATTAGCAGCAACAGCTTCTACCTCACATGAACTAACTCGAAGCCATTTTGGGACTTCATTGTGTTTTACCATATCTGCAGTCCAATCAAGATCTTCATCCATTTGATCGAATAATTCAACTTCCTCTTCACTACGAGCAATCATACGATTCACTTCCTGCAAAGAAGGAACATCATGCACAGTTTCTTGATATCTCTCTTCATCATGAAGTAGCATCTCCAAAGTAATCCGTCTTTCCTCATGTGTTGTTCTTTGATCAAAACGACCAGCATTTATGACCTCATCAGCCATGTCCATCTTATATTGTTGGATATTGTTCCGTATAAGGCTCTCAATTGACCCAATATAGCGATCTTTACCAGCAAGATCATCCTCTGATTCTCCTGCCACTCCACTGCTCAATTCATCTTCTTTTTGATAGCTCGAGGTTTTATCAACAACAGCTTCCATGTATATGACTTTCACTTCTCTCTTTTGTCCAATTCGGTGAGCTCTTGCCACTGCCTGCTCTTCATTCTGGGGATTTGGATCTGGGTCATATATTACAACTGTATCTGCAGTCTGGAGATTTAGACCTCTTCCAGCAGCACGAATGCTAAGCAAAAAGATAAAACAATCAGAGTCAGGGCTGTTGAAATCCACGATTGCTGACTCTCGGTCCTCGAGGCTTGTTGTACCATCTATTCGTCTATAGACAAGTCTCCGCCATTGTAGGTATTCCTCTAATATATCAAGAAGTTTAGTCATGGTACTAAACAGAAGTACACGATGACCTGCTCTCTGAAGTTTTATGAGAATCCTATCAAGAATCCAAAGTTTCCCACATGATCTAACAATGAAGTCCTTGGAATAGTTACTAAAATAAGGATAGTTAAGCAAAGGATGATTACAAACTTTCCTCAACTCCATACATCTATTGTGAAGATTCTTGTACATTTTAACCTGGTACAGCGGATTCTTTTGAACTCGGCGCATCTCATCCTCAGGATCAACCCTGAGAGTACCAGTAGATTTAATCCAGTCATAAATGGCACCCTGGATAGCTGACATTCTGCATCTCAGAACAATGGAGACCTGAAAACATGCATGAAATAAATATCATATGATCTTGGAAAGAACTTACATATGGATTCACATTATACTTACCTTTCGAGGAAGTGAACCTTCGACATCCTCAACACGCCTTCTTAGCATGAAAGGTTCCAGAATCTGATGCAGCCGATGGATGATTATCACCTTCTTCTCAGTCTCAAGCCACTCATCTTCCTCCTGATTTTGTGGTGGACCATCTTTCTGAAAAGGCTTTGAGAACCAATCATGAAATGCCTTGCGATTATCAAAAACTTCTGGAAGAAGTAGATTTAAGAGGGACCAGAGCTCCTTAAGATCATTCTGCAGAATATGAACTCAACCGACAGGGGTCAGCAAATCTAAATTAAACCATCAGTAAAACTGTAACCAAATCAATCTTACTCAGATAATGCAAGCAATGATTATTTAAGTAACTTATTTTACATACACATATAGTAATTTCAATTGAAATGGGTTCCTATTTTGCGCATGGAAACAGTGAGCATAAAATTAAATTTAATCTCTATAGGGTCTCCATGTGGATCACCAAAGCAAGATTAGTCTACAACAAATCACTCAGTCAGCCAAGAGACTCGACGATTTAGTATTTTTCAAGTCAGCCTACATCTTTCTCCAGTTATGACCAAGTAATCCAATTTATATAAACCTTTTCTGCACAGATAACACCACAAAAGAGTGTTAAATAGCACATAGTACAACGATAAGCAGATCAAGTGAGCTTGCAACTTGTTTTCCACATAGCTATGACCTCAGATGTGTAATCAAGTTATCAACACTCAAATTCCAATCTTCCACATTTCAGACATTGAACTACAGCTTATATTAAATAATAGCTTTTTAATGCGCACACAGAATCTTTTATTGAAAATTCTTAGCAAGCAGCCATTCAAGGTTTTGCAAGCTTATGGGGCTGTTTCATTGGTAGTTCAACTAATTAACATAAGAAAGATGGATGTAGAAATCTATATATGAGTAAAAGACGAGCAAGAATCTACTACAGTGTATCTACTACACTATCCTAAACCACTACACTTGCCACTGGTGCCATAACTTTAATTGTCAACATGTTCTATAAATTATCAATTCATGATGACATAAAGCAAGCAAAGACCACACTGTTCTCCACTAACGGATATTGCTTGCCCTTGATTTATCTATGGATATTGTCATACACAAAGCTCAATGGTGGAAAAGAATTCATGTTGCTGACCCTATATAGTTGAGACATTATGGCTTGTTGTCATTTTGCAAGCATGTTAATTTGGGACCAAGTTAAATTTTAACAGAAACAGACCAGAAACACAAAACAATCTTCTAGACACAACAGGAACAGCAGGGCTTCTAAGCTTATCTGGTTTGGATCACTTCTATATCCAAGCCCAGAACATTTCCCTTCTATTCCTCATAAGATACAACGATTACCAAGCAATGACCAAAATTGAGTTTCCATGATTGCCTTTATGTGACGAACAGGAAACAGAGGGTTTCTTTATTTAACATAAGGGGACGCAAGTTGGGTGACATATGGGAGTTTAATGTATTCAGGCAAGCGAAGTATCTCTTGGATGATCAATATATTGAAATTCAACACTATAAGTCCTATCTGCAGAATATGCAGTCTAAATGAACACAAAATCATGTGATCAAAGTGACTCCTGATTTGGATCTGATCAGATCATGTCGCATCATTCGATTCTTAATAAAATGATGGGATAAAACCTAATCGAGTTGATTTCAATTCCATAAACTCATTTAGCAACTTGCTCATCATCACTAAGCCTTCCAAACACTTTGATTTCAAATTCCAATCATCTCAAGAAAAAAAAAAAGAACGGACTAACATAATGGATGGAGGCTGCAATTTTACATTAATCAATAATTCAAATTGAGCATGAGATGCAGCATTAATAACAAATTATGCTGACATTGTATCATCATTCGCATCTTGCACGAAAATATTGCACAGGACTAGTACCAACCCTACCTCAGCTTAAAGAATTTGACAAAGTGGAAGCTTATGTCAAGACAAATTGTTTTTAGGTTCGACTTTAGGAAGATTTTATATTGATCTGTAATTTGGCTTGACTAATGTTTAAGGAAGGAAGAATTTAGTAGGTGTTAGAATGAATTTTTGAATTCAATATAATAGAATAATAATATTTCTATCTAGCTGATTAAAGATGGGCTTGCTTGGAATCCTGATCAAGTGGCTTTGAGTTTCTTCAAGTCAATCTAAATTTAATTTTTGTATCTGAATATTTTATAACAATTCATTGTTACTTTAAGGGGTTACCATAGTATCTGTTTTTTAAGTCCTATTTTGAGTTGTATTGATAGTCGGTAGTTGTAGTACAGGTAAATTCTACTTGCAAAAGTTGTTAAAACTATGTAGGTCAGTATCGGACTGATACTTCAAACTCATTAGCATACCAGTTTTGAAAACTGGATGTAATGATACAACGACAAGTGCCATCCGGTATCACTGAGAAAAATAATGAAAAAAATTGAAGTATCAATAATTACTGACCTATTTGACACATTACAAGTCCTTCATCAGACAGGTAAATACCGGTTGTTAATGGTGTAGTTCCTTGGAAAACACTTAAAATTTTGTGGGATCACAAACTTCAAAATCCTGTCCCATCGTTAATAAAAGAGTTTAGTCAAAAATTATGGCATGAAAACCTACAAATAAAGAAAAATTATTATAGTTGATCTTGTGTTGTACTTGATGTTCATGAATGAATTTTGTTTCAACTGATGGCCAGCTCTCTCTATCTCTCTACCACTCGTGTTCTTTGTTCAATAAGCTCAAAATAAAACAGGTAGTTTTACCTTAACTAACCATCATAGTATTTTGTTTTATATTAAATCATTAGATTCTAAATCCCAATCCCTTCTTTGGCATTCCACATACCTACAGCTTTCTCAACAACTGTAAGAGCAACCTATTTACACACAAAGACCGTCGACTAGTGAGTCGGCCCAATTGGTTCTCCACCAAAAGCGCAGGTCCCTTCTGGTGAACCTTCCTGATTAGCTGGAGAGCAGGTGTGGCGGGCAAGATGCAGAAAGCTGTAGGAAGAGGCAATGAGCTAGGAGAGGCTCGTTCTTCGGGCGGTGAAGGTTGGTTTGAGAGCTAGGTGATCCCCTTTGCTAGGTAGCTTCCTAGTTATGCCTCCAAGCTACGTTAGTGACCTTGCACAATAGGCCTACGCCGGGGGTGTTCCGGCTCGACCCTTCCGATACTTAAGTTAGAAAAGCAAAGGCGAAGGAAGACAACAGAATCAGCAATGAACTAAGAGAGTAAAGAGTCTCTTCTGTTCGTCTACCCCGACTTGGCACAGGGCATGGCTTTTATACATGGGCACTAGGTGGAACGGACGGGCCTCCGTCGAGCTCCCCGTACCCAGCATGGTGGAAACATTTAATGCGGGCGGCTAGCTGGAAAGGCGTTCTTCGAAGCTTCGAATGGAGGTCTCAAAGGACATCACTTTTCCTACATTCCTGCAAGGTGACATGATCGTCATTGGCACCGTGGTGGTCGACGCGAAGCCCGTTTAAGGCAGGCTGTGCTTTCTTGCTGGGGCAACCTTTGTTCACCGTGGTGGTCGACGCGAAGCCCGTTTAAGGCAGGCTGTGCTTTCTTGCTGGGGCAACCTTTGTTCATATAGGTGTTGACCTAAGGGACCAGTTTTTTTTTTCCTCCCTCTATCTTCGTTCTCCCCCTTCCGCACGAGAGTTCACTCTCTTATTTTCTGACCTCCCCCTTCTGCTTCGGGAGGTTTCCTTCACCGTTTTTGCCTTCCCCTTCCGCACGGGAGGTTGGGTTTTCTTTTGGGCCTGCCCCTTCTTTCGCTTCTGGGGGTAGGTACTCGACCGCCTAAGCGAGAGTGTAAGTCCACAATAGCGGGTGTTGGCTCGACTGCCTGGGTGGGAGGATTGGTATCAATCCACCATAATGGATCTTGATTCGATCGCTGTAGCGAGAGTATTGGTATCAACCTGTCGTAGCGGCTTCCACCGTAGCGGGTCTTGATTCGACTACCATAGAGGGAGTATCGATATCAATCCATTATAACGAATTCCGCTATAACGGGTCTTGATTCGACCATCGTGGGTGGGAGAGTGGATCCGCCAGAGCGACTTCCACCACAGCAGGTCTTGATTCGACCACCATAGCGGGAGTATCGATATTTGTCCACCGTAGCAAGTCTTGATTCGACCACCGTAGGTGGGAGAGTGGTTCCACATTTGCGGCTTCTGCCGTAGTGGGTCTCGATTCAACCGCCGTGAGCGGGAGAGTGGTTCCGCCTTAGTGGCTTCCGTCGTAGCGGGCCTTGATTCAACCGTCGTAGCGGGAGAGTGGATCTACCTTAGCGGCTTGCCTCATGCTTGTCGTGGTGGTGCACCCCATTGGAATTTCTACTGTTGTCATCCTTAATGATGGCAGAGGTCCTTCGTTAGTCTAATGCTTGATTCGTTTAGGGATTCAAGCGGCTTTTTTCGGCTTCGAGCGGTGTGGCTTCCATTACAAGCATTCCTGGGCAGCAGTGTAGGATTTTCAATCGTCCCAAACGAGCGAGTGCAAATGTTGTGCTACAAAAGGTGAGCCGTTTTCAGCACCCGTTGGTCTGACTGGGGCCTTTATATAACGCCCTAGTCCTTCCTTCTTATCGGGTGAGTTTGCTTTTCTGCTTGAGGCCATTGTCAACTGCCAGGTTACACTAGTGTGTGACAAGATGTCTTCTTTTGTTTCTCCTTCTCCTTCTCGCTCTCGCCCCTTGCGTCGGAGGGGTACCAAGGCCCCCGGCTTCCTCCCAGAGGGTGGTACAAGTTGGTTCCTCATCTTCAGGGGACGTGCCTTTCGTTACCCCTAGGGTTTCTCGGGAGCTGGGCTTGATAGAAGGCGTCCATAACTGCGAATATATCGTGATCGCCCTTCAACTGGAGCAATTACATCGTCGTTTCTGTATCCCGGCAGAATTTATTTTATCGATCCCTTGGGCCGAGGACCAACCGTTTTATCCAACCCCTGGGGGTTTCTGCCTTACGGTTGACGCCTTGGAGGTAGGGCTGCGTCTCCCCTTCCATCCTGTAATCGTCTCCTGTCTAGAGCAGTGGTGGATTTCACCCTCCCAGATGGCGCCCAACTTATGGCGCTACTTGGTGACCTTTATCGACGCATATGATGATGCGGGGGTGGCGTTGTCCCGTGACCCATTTCTCTCGTGCTTCCACCTGAGCCGGGGGCCAAGCAACTATTACTTGTCCCCTCGCGAGGGCTTGAAGGTGAGCGA